TTTTTTTAATTGAGTTCTTATCAACTACACTTTTCGAAGTAGACTTTACAAATACAGCAAGTGAGTTGTTGTTTGCTTATAAGTCTGACAACAGCTTTTTACTAACCGTTTTGTTACATTTGTTGTCATCGCCTGTCCATTAATGTTGGCTGTCGGCTGTGTTCAGGGTTTTGGTGTTTGCTGATTTATGAGTATGACACTGGACACTTAATACAATGCATGCTTTAGTCCTTAGTAACCCAGCAATTGTAGGCTTGTAAGAAGGGACGAATCTATTGCATGAACTTGTTATATTTGCGGTGGATGGTTGCAGACCCCTGGAATTTTTCCATGAAAGAATCTGGAACCGAATGAGGCAATGACTGTCTCAAAACCTATTGAGTGGCTGATGTAGTCCTACTAGACAGCATTTCTCTGTCATAGACTCATAGGTGCAAAATGCTGTTTAGGTGTTTAAGATTGGTGGACATTGGTTTTCTTGGTATTTCCAGCTGTTGAGTAAAATAGTAAGAACTTTTAAGTCTGTAAATTAGCTTAAAGTTTTATTTAGAGGCATTGGTGTAGGACAAGACTACAAGTGATAAGTACTTCATATGTGCATTTTTTTTCTATGAAATATAATTGTAAAAATCTGATTCAAAACAAAAATTAAAGTCTAGTCAGCTCATCAAGGATGTTACCAAATATTCACAATTGGGAGGACCAAATGTAAAGGTTGAATAATAATTTTTACGATATAACCCATATTAATTTGCCAGCCACATTAAACCATCATCATGATCATGTTTTTCATGATCATGCTTTCCCTACATAATGGGTTTTTCACACATATATTTGTTAATGGTGATTTTTACTTCATTGTTTTGTGATCTGGAGTATCTTTTCCATGTTTCAAACTTTAAATACTTCCGGCAGTTGATTTTCTCCATGGGGAATTGATCGGATTGTGAAACGTGGCTGTTTCTATACAAGAATGGAGCCAGATCTGAATGTGAATTTTGTTAACATTTAACCAGTCAGGTTCTTAGTCCTGTAGCCCAAGTGTATTTATTGTACAGGTCGTTAATTTATTATTATAATTTTTTTTTCAAACAAATGTTCAACAAATGATTCGTGCTTTGAGTTGTTGTGATGAATCTGCAAAAATGGCCTCTTAAATTGTACCAGCTGCCTTTCCATAATTTTCTTTTTCATTTCTTCCAAGGTTGCATGAAGAAATCATGGACTTCTACAATTTCATGTCTCCTCGTCCTCAGGAGACCACCATGAGACAGGAGGTGGTGGACAGGATAGAGTCGGTCATCAAGGAGTTGTGGCCAACCGCTGATGTAAGATTAAGAGCTGATGTCTATGCAGTTGGTCTATTATTAGCATAATAAATTAGAATTCAAAAATACGAATGTATTTGTTTTTACTTTTATGTACTTTAGGTCCAGATATTTGGCAGCTTTAGCACTGGACTCTTTCTCCCAACCAGGTAAATGAATGTGTGTTTGATCTTGCACATCAGGTGACAACACAGCAGTGAGTTTTTGAACCGGATTGTTAGCAGATCTCAACATGCGTGATGTTGCTCTCACGATCCGTTGTTGCTGTACAGACATAACACTATTCACAGTTAGATGACTCTCACAGACTGGTGGGATCAGAGCACGTGCTTCATCTTTATCATAGCCATAGCCTGCTAGCCTTTTTTTGGCTCTTAGCTGTCTTTTAGTAACTAAACAGACGTTTTATGATCAATTGCTGTTTGCTAACTCCAAATGTGAGAATGGCACAAACTATCCTAGATCTGTAGTTTATGAAAATAATTGGTCTCTAAAGCCTGAAAGATTTTCCTTGTGTTACTGTTAGTCAGTAGGCCTCATGTATTTGGCTTAACGCTACTGAGGAGGCAATGATTGTGAGTTTATTTGGTGGTTTTGTTTTCATGTGAGATATGGGCTTCCGCTAGGCTTCTTGGGCAGTGTTGATTTTAACAAATTGCATAAACCTGAATCTGGCTGATTCTTTTACACTGTAGTGACATTGACCTGGTGGTGTTTGGGAAATGGGAGAAACCTCCCCTGCAGCAGTTGGAGCAGGCGCTCCGAAAACACAATGTGGCAGAACCATATTCCATCAAAGTTCTGGACAAAGCTACGGTACGTGTTTTCCCACTGTTGATTTAACATCAACCACACTTAAACTGTTTCATATTCGTTTTTTTTTTTTTTTTGCGCCAAGAATGTCTTTGGAAT